TATCGACCATCTCCACAAAGCCTCTCTTTCAGCCCTATATCTTCACCACCATTTACCTAACATAGCTATATTCTTGTTCACCACGCTCGAAATCCCTAGTCCTTCGTATCGTTTTGGTTACAAACTTTAGACCACTTCACTTTTGCCCTTTTTCTTGTTTCATTTCCACTTCCCCACATGAAAGCCCTTCTCAACCTTTCCAACTTACAAATAATTCCCCCTAGAGCTCTAAAAATAGACAAGTTACTCTCCCTGCAAACGACAGGTATTTCCTCTGCCACATTGCTAGCCTATTTTTCATTTTTTCTACCATAGGTTCCCAAATCTGAACATTTCTTGGGTTTGCTCCTAGTGGAACCCTAAATACCGGAATAGTATAAAACTTCTTCTACATAACAGGCTATTTTCTACTTGCTAAGCCTCTAAATCTTCCACTCTAATATGGTAAATTTGGTTTTGGCATAATTTATCCTCAAGCCAAAAACAATCTCAAAGCTCCTTACGATTCTTTTTATATTTTGTCTCTGGTTTTTTCCAACCTCCATGAATATAATCATATCATCTGTGAATTGCAGGTGTGATATGGTTATTCCAGATTTTGCCACTTGATACCTAGAAACAACCTCTGCTCCTCAGCTTTCTCAAGCAGCTTGTATAGTACTTCCACCGTCAAAATGAACAGTATTAGGGAAAGTGGGTCACCCTCTTTTAGTTGGAAATTCTATTGTTGGGGATCAATTGACTAGCATCAAGGCTCTAATTGTCGAAAAACACTCCCTTATCCAATTTTTTTGTTTTTCATCGAACCTCTTCTTCTCCATGGTTATCAAGCTCCAATCCAAGAAATCATAGGCCTTTTCAAAATCTAGTTGCAACACTATTCCTCCGTTATTCTATTCCTTCTTCCTAATACTGTGTATGACCTCATTTGCAAGCAATATACAATTTATTATCTGCTTACCCCTTATAAAGGTACTCTGAGTATTGCTTACCACAGTATCTATAACTTCCTTTAATCTATTAGCTAGAATCTTAGCTAGGATTTTGTACACTGAATTACCAAGCTAATTGGTCTATACACCTTTAACGATGTTGGGTTAGACACTTTAGGGATTAATACAATGAAGGATGAATTCATACCTTTATTGATCTTACCTCGATGGAGGAATTCTGATAAAAACTCCATAATCTCTGCCCTTAACAACTTCCACGACTTCTTGTAGAAATTCATATTATATCCACCGGCCCTAGGGCTTTCGGTCATTCACATCCATCAACTGCTCGCTATAATTCCTATGCTGTGAATGGGGCTTCCATAAGTCAATATCCTCCACCCTTGTCTATCCCAATCCTCTTTGCAAAAAATTGCTTTGAAGTACTTAGCAATCATTTCTTTAACTATTCTCGGATCTAACACCCATACCCCATCAATGTTTAGCCCCCAATGTAGTTCCTTCTAGCCCTAGCTTTGGCTTTACTATGAAAGTAGCTAGTATTTCTGTCTCCCACTTTAATCCACTTCATTTTGGACTTTTGCTTCCAGATTATCTATTTGTTTCGATGGGCCACCCATAGCTGTTGAATCACTCCTTTTTTCTCCTGCACCTCATCTTCATTCAACTCCCTTTCATTTTCTATTCTATCCAAGCCTTCCATTTTCTCTTCCAAGCCCACTATAATATTATCCACCATCCCAAAAACCTTATATTCCATTATTTTAGAAACCTTTTTAACCTATTTAACTTCACCCTTAATTTGAACCCTGGAGTCCCCATGATGTTATATGACTTCCACTTCTTTGAAATAGCCCCTCTAAATCCGTTGCCGTTCAACCAACAATCTAGGAACTTAAAAGGTCTCAGGCCCAAGTCCACCTTTCCAGAAGACAGCAAAATCGGGCAGTGGTCTGAAAATGATCTCTTCAGTCCTCTCTGACTTAACTCCTCAAATTTCATGAACTATTCTGATGATATCAAAGACCTTTCCAATCTGCTTCTTTTTGAACCAGCCTCATACCAGGTGAACTTCTTACCATTTAGCAGCATATCAATATACTCCACTGTTTGAATAAAGTTGTTAAACTCCTCTATACCTATGCCCTCCGACATACAATTACCCCTTTCCTCTGAGTTCCTAACAGTGTTAAAGTCCCCAATTACACACCAATTACCCCTCATCACACTCCTCCACTCCATCAATTCCCCCCATAACCTCTTCTTATCCTTTTAATTATTTGGAGCATAGACATTCACCAATACATAGTTAAAGTCATGCAATTGCCATTTCCCTTTCAATAGAATGAAACTCTTATTCTTGACAGCTGCCTCTTTCTAAAAAAATTGGTTGTCCCATAATATCAAAAGTCCCCTTGACCTCCCTTCAGCTGCATTACAAATACACTCGATCTTATCATTCAGCCACAACTTACCTACAATCCTATTATCACAACTACCCAGCTTAGTTTCTTGCAGGAACACCATCTCTACATTTGTGTCTCTAATTAGTTTTCTTACGGCGTATATATATGTATATATATATTTATGTTTATATATATATATGTATATATTCTCAGACTCCTATAAGGATGAACTAAACCAATCCCAACAGTTACATTACCCCTCGCTATATTTCATTAATTTTTGTTGCCTTACCATCCATCTCGCGGATCTTTTGTATTACAGCTCCTTCGTCTCCTCTCGCCATGATTCCTAATTTTTTCACCACCTCCCAAGTATCTTCTGCTTCCTTCCAAACCTCGACGCCCTCTGATGCCCTGACAATTGCTCTATTTCAGCACCTAAAATCCCAGTCCGAAGTTGATTGGTTCACTATCTTCTCAATGTCTTCAGCTGCTGCCAAGATTGTTAGCTCCATTTTATATTTTTAACAGCTCTTTTCCCTTATTTATTCCCTCTTCCCATTAATCATTCCTCTATATCTACATAATATTTCCATTTTTTCTCCTGTGTCTAAATCCCTATCTTTCCCTTCTTGCTCCTAATTTGCTCCGTTTCTTCTATTATTGATGGGCTTGGTTCCTCTATTGCATTAATGCATCCTTTCTCCTTCTCGACATGATATACCAGGCTTTCAACCGCACCATCATCCGATGGGCCTAACTCGTCCTCTTCCAGGTGGGGTCTAACTGCATTATAGCCCACCATGCCTGCCTTTTGTTGCACCTGATCGTTTGCTCCCTCTGTTAGGCTTTGACCCATTCTACATATGTTGTCGTTTCCTATGCTTGACCCTTGGGACTCACAATCCTTCTCTGCCCATTTTGTTCCCCACGTCCCATATGATAGCTGCTTCTCAATTCTACCAACATTCTCGAATTACAATGTCACGGTTGCGGCTTGTCCCCCCCTTGATTACCGAGCTCCAGCTGTACTGTTTGTCTCGTCTCTTGATCTTCCTCATCTTCTTCCTCTATGGTCTGACCGCTGGTGTTTGGTTCCCAGTTGTCGTTCTGGCTGTGGGCTTCCTGGTGCAATCCATTGCTCGATAGATTTGACCCCAGCTCAGCTATCCAAATTAGGCAAACCGATTCTCCTACCTTTAATTGTACCATCCCCTCAATCCTTGTCACAGACTTGGTTATTATCTTTTCTAATCCTTTATTAAAAGACTTATACTTCGCTGTTTCTTTATCTAAGCATAAAACCTCACCCCATCAGTTTGCATATGGAGAAGGTTTCCTCGTTCCATGCATGTCATGGAACACCATAGCGTCCAAACCACATGCTCCTCTTTCTCATGTCGTAAGTCACTGACCATTCCTCTATGTCGTAAAACCATATATATGCACAAGCCTCTCCAATTTTCGGCTTTCATCTCATCATACCTATCTCTCTTTTCAAAAGTTATTAGATATGTGTCTGCATGCGTTTTCTTTGTGTATCCCTTCCAATTCTTCCTCACTAAGGAATCCTACCACCTCCACATCCTCTAAGATCCACTTGCTTCTACTAATTGCACTCATTTGCAGCTAATGCAAATTTTCATTTTCAAGTACCCCCACACTTACCATATCACTATTGTATATATACGATTAGTGTTTGTCCATCAATGCTGCCCTTTCCAAAACATTCCTTTCCTCCATATGCTTTCTTCCATCATAACTTCGAGGTATGATATTTGAATCCTTCTACCTCATCTTCCCTCTTTCGTGGATTGTAAACCTGTGCTGCAGTTAATGTTGCTTCCCGTTATACTTTGAATTCTCACTCTTTGTCCGTTTCCATTCCTATCCCCTCTCACCGGCCTCCTTTTCCTCTTGGCAATCCTACTTTCCTCCGGTAAGCTTGTCTAGGCTTGAACCTCGCAATGTTTGCTCCTATCTTTTTGTCCAGAAACCATACTCCATTCATATTCCGCCCTTCTTGCTTCCTCCATCGATGGATAATGAACAAACCTAATCCTTTTCCCTTCTTTACTCCTCTTCTATCGTATGAAGGAATCCACAATTCTTCCAAACCTTCCATAAGTTCTCCTTAACCATCTCCAACAACCAGCATTTGGTAAATCGTCGATAAAGATGGTCGCACACCCTCTGTGCTTGTTCATCTCAAACTCAAAACGAAATCTATCCAAAGTTCTTATCAAAACTCTTATTATCTAAAGTACTCCTCTTGATGTCAATCTTTTAACGGATATAGAAACTGCTTAATTGATTTGATCCTGTCATGTAAAGGAGTTAATATATAGTATAATTATATTATGATTAGTTTCTTTTTGACACTTTTTTTTTTTGTAAAAATGCAATCTATAATTATGAAAAAAAAAACCAAAATAAAACTCAATATTTTCATATATAGTTAATATAAACAGTGGAACTTAGACATGCAATATTTTATATTCTGCAAATTTTACAAAAACCAAAATAAAAAAAAAAAAAACAACAACAAAGGTTTCATACATAAAACAGATTAGAGAAATTTAAGCACATTATTATATTTATATATAATTTATATATAATTGTCAAGTTAGGAATTAGGAGGCTAGGAGTCATCGAGATCGTGAGACGGAGAATGTGCGTGTCTGCCTTCGTATGTGGTCATTACCATTCTTGGATCCTCTGCTAATCTCTCCACTCGTTTCTTTACCCGACAATTATCTTGCGTACACCGATAGTAGCTCCTGCATTTGCATGTATTCGTTAGGTTTCCAATAACAAAATTTAATAATGTACGTGTTTTATTGGTAATAATATATATGGTGATGAGTGAGGTTCAATTGCATGTGATATTAATTTAATTTGTTCATTCCATGACAATGTGTGGACACGTCAAATGGATGGGAAAATAACAATTACTCTAAGTCAATATATTTTTTTCATTTAAATTATTAAAAAAATCAATTATTTATTACTGGAATCACTAATGAGTCTATTGAAATATATATTCATCATTTGATTATCATATGATGTATAATAAATAATTGACATTTTTGTATAATATAATTACATGAATTAATCATTTCATATAATTCTTTTCCTATTGATGCCAATGCTTTTTTTCATCTATATTGCACCAAATTCTAAAGGAAAAAAGAATTATAGTGTGTCAGGTCATATAACAAATCATTAGTTTCAGAATAGCTCAATTGGGGATGGATGGAAGAAAAGAGATAAAAAAAAAAAAGTGATGAAAGGGAGAATTATGTCAACAAACTAAAGGTGGGGAGTGTGACTTTGTGTTTCATAGTAATCAAATTGATCAAGCCAATGCTACGATAAGTCCTTAATTATGATGATTACCAATTAAAATGGGGGCCACCAAGTTGGAGTAGTAGGATTCCTCTTACATATAGGCGAGGTCCCTACTGCGCCTCCATCCTTAATGTTTTGTTTGGGAAAATATTAAATTATTTACAGTATTATACTGTAACAAAGGAAATTTGGTTATAATCGAAAGCAAAATAATATACTTCAAAAAACCCCTCAACCTTTTTTTTTTTAATTTAGAGAAAAAAAAAACAGACGCAAAAGTTTCGTACTTATAAAGCAACATTAGAAAAGAAAAGCTATTTTAACTAGGATTCCCTTCCAATCCTTGATTATATGGTTAAATCTTTTCTATAAACAAAAGAAACAAAATAGAGCCTTAGCTAATTGCTAGCGAATTTACTAGTTAAAGTCGTAATAATTTTAGTTATGACACAAAAATAATAAAAAAAATGAAAGCAATAAAGTTCAAATTTTATAAAAACTGTACATGAATTTGATAAAAACAAAAAATCTGTTTGATGTTTGATGTATCAATATGATTTAATATATAATAATTTTTATATTTTATATGTATTTAATAATACAAAATAAATATGATACAAATATAAAAATTATCAAATTTATCTTAAAGAGATAAAAGTTAAAGAGATTCAAGCCTTTGTAACAAGCGATTAATTACATTATAACTTACTAAAATTCCTCCATGTATCAATTACCAACGAAAATCATCCTCGAAGTAAACGTTTAAAAAGGCAGAAGTGTTAGTATTACATTTTAACTCTTGACAACGGGTCTTTTCAGGCTGAACCATAACCAAAGTAATTAAAGTAAGTACTACTATTTAATTTCCTTAAGGATGTTTGTAGTAAATAAAGTCTAGAAATACCCTAACATTAATGACATTTACCATCAAAATATGAATTCCAAGTTGCATTCCCATCTCAAAAGGAAAAAGATCTTAGGTTAATTTTTAATATGACTTTTAAGATATTCTGGATATATAGACATATATATAGCCAATCAAGGCTTTGCAGATGGAAGATATTTTAAGTGTCTTTTTCCTTATTGACTAATCCTACCTTTGATTAAGCCAGTTTTTTTTTTTTGTTTTTCAAACTTTGAAAAGTAAAAAATGATGATAATAAACAGTTGAAAAGAACACTAATAATCCAGGATAATGAGACATGATTCAGAACTAATCCAGGATAATGCAAACTGAGGACATTAAGCACGCTTTTGTCCCAGCACACATAGTTCTCTCTTCCCATAATTTTAAAGCAAACACATGATATTCAAAAACCCCAAAATTATGCGGTCTTTAATCATTCAGAGCTGAAACTATAGCCTTAGAAAATTTCTCTACTTTGGAAGCAAAGGGTTTTCTACATAGTGACAAATCAAAAAGTGAAATCCCTTGTCTAACATAAATGAGTAGAATTCGTACTACACGTTGTATTGCATCTTAATCTTTTCTCTCTTCCATTTATACCTCTATATAATGTCAATTAGCTAGGCAACTTAGCATGAATTGTCAGTACCAACGACGGCTTTGAAACAACAATTGCTTTGTTATTTTTAGTTAGTGAATTTTAAGTAAGGATTTGAACTCGAAAACTATTTATTTCTTTATCAAAAGAGAAGCATTGGTCTCTTAAAGAGATGACATTCTGACACAATGACTACACAGTAACCTACTGACTGTTTGATGACCATTGTCCTCAATAAAGTATATTCTCTTCTGCCACTCAAACATAAAATTATTCTAATGCGAACAAATATAATAGTTTCATAAAATTTTGAGTAAAATGTATTGCCCCTTCAGATACAATATTTTGCATATCATGCATGTTCAAAGAAATAAGCGTAGTAATTCTTTGTGATGGTGAATCTGTACACCCACGGGTTACACTCAGTCACTGTTCTAGTCTAGATGATTTTCTTCATTATAAAAGTGTTCTAATTATTATGTTTAACTTTTGTCATCAGTCCTTATGATGGCTGCTCAATTTTCTCCTGATTCATGGCATGATATAGTGAACCTTTATTTAATTAAAGAATACATACATATATATATATATATATATACACACACACACACCATTTTTATTATGGCATTGCCAATTTGCCATATAACCCTCGCTTTTGGCATAGTAAAAGATCTTCTACCTCCTTTTTCTGGTGCATTATAATTGGTCAATTGTTGTATATTTTTTTTCCCTTTTTTATCTTCACATTGTGTTTTTGTGTCTTTTGAAGGTAATAATAAGTTCTTTTAATTAGGCTTTAAAATCTCTCTATTGTAATTTCATGATTAAGATGTCCAGAATTACGCTTTCAGATCTCATGCAATATCAGGCGTGTAAAGCCAAATAATCATGATAAACAGTTTACTTACAAGACAGAAAAAGAAAAAAAGGAAGGAAACACAGTGTGTATAAGGGGTACAATTAAGGCTAAAAGCCTAAAATTTGATGTGAAGTTTAGTAACTTTTCTTAAAACACAGAATGTTAGAAGGCAAAAAGAAAAAGAGAGTTTTTTTTTCTTAATGCTTGATTAATATACCTGGGATGCTGCGTGTTCTTTACCACTTTCTGGCCGTACTTTCTCCACTTGTATCCATCATCCAATACATCTACATCGCTCATGGTCTTGAAGCAAAACCTAGGTTCCCTTACCTTTCTTCCTTTTATCCTTTTCATTTTCATTGCTGAAACGCCTAGATGATCATCTACGCCAAATTTCTTTCTTTCCAAACACTCGTTTGCCTCTCCCCATGCCCTAAAACCATTAAAAGAAAAACCCAATATCAATTACTAAGATACTAGAAGAGATATTTGCATGGAAACCATTCTTTTTTTTTCTTTCTTGGGTGATTGAAATTAAACAAAATTTAATTTGTGAAGAGTTGGTAAACATTTACTATTTCATTTTAAAGAAAAATGAGAAAGATAGAAATGAATAAAACCAAGAAAAAAGAGCTAAAACCAATGAATAATCTTTGCATGATTATTCATTTAAAAGTGCAATATTTTTAATTACCAGAAATTTGCACTAGATCTCTGCAAGGAAAGGAGATGGAGTTCTCCAAAATCAGAAGTAGGGTCTTCTCTGTTCTTTTGATAGGTACTGGCAGATGAGAGTAGGGTTTCAGTTAGATTAGCAGCAGAATTAGGTACTGCATCAGCGGCAAGTGAAGCTGCAGCTATGTTGAAGGCGTTGAGAGATTGATAGCAACTCAATGGATCAGGAAATGAACTCAAGTTTGGAGGAAAAGTAAAGAAACCCATCTGAGTAGCCATCTCTTGTTCCTCAAACAAGCCCTGGTTTAGCATGGCTTGGGAGGTATATGACATATTCTTGATTTCTTCTATATCTTTCTATCTCTTTTATGTCGACCTTCTCTGTGTGTGTGTGTGTGTAGGCTTGTGGAATTGAAGATGATCAGAAACGAATGAATTTAGGTGTTGGTTCCTTTTATAGGAGAAAAACAGGGATTAATTTTAGATGATCGATTACAGATAGGAATATAGATTAAAAGAACTGGAGGAGGAAGGGTATCTCTCAAAATTCTGGGATAGATAGACAAAGAGAATTATGTATATTATTATTAGGAGATGAATGGAGTAACCAAATACCTTTAATGTGACCATCCACTTTTCTTCTTTGGCTCTTCTCTCTCTTTTTCCCTCTTTATGTGTTAAAAACTAAAAAGATCCTTTGAAATAGCAAAGTGTTTAATCCTTTATTTGAACAGCTGTTTGGGTTTAATTTGAGAGTCGGGTAGTGCAAGACATGTTACGTTTTGACCCCAAAAGGAAATTTCACGTCTCATTTGTTAGTGGAAATTTTCTGTTTTAAGGTGGTCAACCATAGACGACAATTTGATTAAATTTATAGCTGCTTTTCTTGATGGATTGCATGGAAAATCGACGCAATCCATTGTCTACAAAGTGGAAAAAACTTACATTAAAGTTATTTAGTTGAAGTTTGTGAAGTTTATTTTTAAAATTGATTTAATAAATATTTTAATAAAAAATCTAAATTAATAGATTGATAAAATTTAATATGAAGATCAATAATATATAAAAAAATATAAAAATATTATTTATAATTTAAATTTGATCAATATTTATTCAACGATAAAAATTTTATCAATATTTCTATTAAAATATCTATATAAAATATATATCAAAATTAATTAAAATTTTTTTCAAATTTTATACATTTGATCTATGTAACGAAACTGTAGACATCCCATTTAGTCTAGGGTATTTTTTTTTATTTAATTTTAGAATTTTAATATTTTGTTTAGTTTATGATTATTTATTTTGTTAATCAATTGATTTATGGTTTAAAAAAAAGAAGAAGAAAGAAAGAGTTTGATTTAGTTTGAAGTTTAGTATTCTAATTGAAAAAATATATTGGGTTAAGAGGTGGACTTGGATTAAAAATTCAAAATTAACTTTAATTAGGAGATTGAAACCAAGAAAATCATCTCCTATTGTGATTTGTATTAAATGCCTATAAAAAGACCTCATGAGGATGAATCAAGAATCAATTAGAAAAATTAAGAGAGAAAGAGTAAAAAGAAAACAAAAAAATTGAGAGTTTTTTTTATAGTATTTTCTAGTGTTTTAGGTTTAGATAATTAGGATTTTCTTTTGAAAATTTTGCGTTAGAGAAAGGAGTTGAGAAGAAACGCAATTACAAAGACTCATATGCTTTGGAATCAATTGTGACTTAATTTTTAGTATTTACTTTTTACTTATCTTTTTCTTAAGTTTTAGTTATCTTTGGATTTTATCATAATTGTTTATTTATTTATTTATTTGTTTGTTTATTTGTTTATTTTATTTATTTGAATATTTATGTCTAATTTTTAGGAAAAATTAGACAGTATTTACTAAAAAATAAAACAAAATAAAACATTAATAAATTTTTTGAGAATAAATAATAATTATTCAATGTTAAGATTTTTTTTTTTAGAAATTACAAAATGGTTAATTCTTTAATAAATCTCTAAGTGAAGAATTTCTCTAAATTCAACCAAAATGGTGTAATAATTTAGATGATATTTAAATAAAAGTAATTGTATTCTTTTCCAAACAAACAAAAATTAAAACTTTGGGTGAAAATATTTGACAATTATCCAAGGATGAAATTTTAAGAAAAATCACAAATGGTTGAGTTTTCATAAGATTTCTAGGTGAAAAGTTTCTTCTAAAATTAACTCAAATGGTGAAAGAATATAGAGGAGTTTTAAAATGATTGTCTTATTATTTTTGGATTAAGAAACAAATGACGAATAATAAGAGGATATTTCTAAATTTAACCAAAATGGTAAAAAATTTAGAAATGAAACTTGTAAGTCATTTCTAAATTAGGCCCAAATAGTAAAAAATTTAAAAATAAAATTTAAAAAATAAAAAATAAATTTTGAGAATGAAATTCTTAGTAATCGCAAATGAATGATTATCTAAGATATTTTTAGGTGAGAAAATATATCTAATTAAGTTCAAATGTTGGAAGAATCAGATATAAAATAAAAATTAATTAAGTTTTTCAATGATGGAGCCTCTTCAAGAAAACAAATGAGATTCTTGAATACTGTCGAGCTAATGAAGTATTTTTAAGAATTTTACCAGATTGATGAAAAAATCTTAAGAATTATGTATAATATTAAATTTAAAACCATTAGAATCAAGATCTTAGGATAATTTAAAACATTAGAATCAAGATCTTAGGATAATTTAAAATAAAATAGTGTTGTCCTTTGGATGGGCATGTAAGGATACTATAACTTTCCTATATATAATCGAACACTCGAATCTTGTTCTGATTAGTAGACTATAATTTATTCTTTAGAAATCCTTAGTCAAGCTTAGGAGCTCCTTAAAAGGATAGATTCATTAGGTGGTCAATCACATATTGATAAAAGATTAGTGGCCATTTCTTAGGTTATGTCTAGCTAGAGATTTACGGATCTATACGTTATGACAGTTTGACGACTTCACTTGGGACTTATAAAGAGTCAGGCCATAAAATTTTAAATTTATCTTATCCTTTAAGCTAATGGCTTTAAATTATAATGATTGTGTTATTTGTTCACTAACGTTTTTTCTTTTTCTATGTTTTATTTATGGGGATTTGAAAATTATATTTTTCTTTACACATACTATCATATGCATTTGCATTACAGGAGCTTTATACCTAGGTTTCATCCCTCTTAAGAGGAAGTAGCTACGCTCTTGTGATATGATAATCTTTATAATGGCTGACGAAAAACTCTCACTCAAATTCAATCCTTTTCATTGGTAGCTGTAATGGGTAAGGATTGGAATGCCTTACTAGTCTATGATAGACAATGACATAAGGAAAAATTTGGAAACCTTTAGTGGTCAAAATCATTTAACGTTGTATATAATCTACATTTAAAAAGTCAACCTTAAAATAAAACCATTCCTACCCGTTGATATATGTAACCCGAAATTAGGACATAAAAAGGAATAATTTATGTGATATATTGATTATCTAACCAATTTTTTCTATTTGACTTTGTGTATTTGCATCATTTCAATTATTATAGTGCTTGCATTATCATCTATTTAACTTTATGCATCATTTTCATTATCATGTTTAACATTGTGCATTTGTATCATTCTTATATAAGGAATATTTGCCACATATCAATTATTGATAACTTAGAACTCATACCTACATCCATGGAAAGCCAAATGTAATCAAAGTCTGCATTGATTCATAATGAATTTGTTCACAAGTTGAAAATCAAATCAGAGAAAGGTAAAAAAAAATAGGATAATTGTTTGCCTGGGGGTTTTATTTCATCATTGCCTGAGAGAGATCATCTCGATATCTAACAAAATAACAAAATGACTTGGTGACTTAAGTAATGTTTGGGGATGCATGAGTAGAATAAGGCATGAGGTATTTGAGAATAAATATGGAGACATAGCTTTATTGCTCCAAGTAGATGTGGACAATAATTTGATCAGAACTATTTTACAGTTTTGGGATCCTTCTTATAGGTGCTTCATCTTCAATAATGCAGATATGGTACCAACGATTGAAGAGTACATTGTCTTACTTTACTTTGATTTGCAAATCCAAATAAGATTTATTGGTCAAACAAGGTAGATTATCATTAGAAGCTTGTGCAAATGCTTAGATTCAGCTTATCTCAAATTAATTTATGTGTCGAAATAAAATGCGAGAGTAAGGGTATTTCATGGACGAGACTTCATTCAAGAACATTTAGGGTGATTATCAAAGAATAGTAATGATGGCTATAGATTTATATAGATTGGTAATCTTTTCAAAAGTTATTAGATTTACTGATGTCGCAATGATAGATTTTGTTGATTAGTTAGAACATAAAGTTAATATAGCACCGACCATTTTGGCAAAAACCATTCGATCTTTGAATTACTATTGTAAAAATGGTAAGGTCAGTTTAATAGGTGCGTACAACTATTTTATGTATGGATGAAGAGTCACATCGAATATGAAGAAAGCAAGTTTTGCAAATCATACCTTTGTTTCAGCATTTTAATTAAGGAGTTTTGTTATAACTGATAGGCTAAAGCAAAGTCAAAAAGGATTGGATTTCATATTTTTGTGCGTTTGATAGCTAAAAGATAATTTGGAGAGCACATTGGATGCATCATGATCCAATGTTGTACAATCGTAAAAATCAACCCTAGATTTTCTTGTTAGGCTTATAAGGTGTTGTTACTTATGCTCCAACTTTAGTGAAAAAATAATATAGATGTGAGTAATTTATTCCAGAAACATACGGACTTAACTAGTGAGAATTTTTTTTCATCAAAAAAGGGCTTATGAAAAGATTGAAATAATAAAAAAGGTATAAAAATAGATCATTAAGGTTAACTAAGAGAGGCTTACATATAATGTTACTTTGGAATACTTTATGTGGTATGCAAGAAGGAGCAAGGACATTGTGCTTCTTCGAGAATGAAGAGTTGGCCACTCTTAAAAGCCAATTCACCAAGATCCTCTGCTGAAAGTGAAAATTGCTTAAAAAAACTTCAAACTGAAAAAGATAAGCTTGAACAAGAAAATAAGTGATTAAAGAAAAAAATGAGAGAAAGTTTAAAGTTGCAAGAGTAAAAAATCCAGAGCCTCAATGAACCAAAAGACCAATGGAAGGCCCTATTCAATGATTTAGACAGGTTATACGTATTAGTCATACTTGAGCTTACCGGACTCTTAAAAGAAAATAAATTATTGAAAGTAAGGGTGAAATAAGGATAAAAGGCCATTGCTAGGGCACATAGACATAACCAGATGCTATAAGAGATAGTGGAGCAGCGCACAGTACAAGTAGGAGTTTTGACTAAGAATTTAAGAAACATGTTGAACAAAGCAAGCAATTGAAAAGCACATGCATGGAAAAACAGAAACATTTAAGGCACTTGTTTGATCAGTTATGTATGGTCGCAGAAAAAAAAACAAAAATGAAAAAAAAATTGAAAAAATTAAAAGCCGTGGTGCAAGTAGTAGAAGCTCATGGGCAGCGATTGCTTGACTTCTAGATGAGGCACAAGATCATTACCAGCAAGCTAGAAAGTTCATAAGGAGACATTAGAATAATGTTTAGGAAATATTACAAATGATGTTTAGGACTTTAGAATATT